CCCTAAATTTTCTCTAAAGCACTAAGTTCCTCATCTCTATTGACTCTTTCACCATCGATCTTTATTTATAATGCTTGTGAATGAAGACAATATCGATGGAATCCACACAGGATGCACATATACTATTTACAGAGTGATTAGTTCCAGTTCTAAAACAACAATGGGAAAATACAAGTAAACAACAATACCAAGTGAATATACAGTAAATAGTTAATTTGCAAAATATCAATCCATCGTCTCAGATTTCATTATCCCTGCATTTTCATATCAATTACTTTCTGTTTGTGTTCTTTCCTTCTTGATCTTCTATTAAATTACATTCTATTCCTGACTATCATTATATACTACTTATTGTGGATTTAAGTAGCTCATAACACACTATGACTACAATTATTCTTTTCAATGTATATTTGCCAGTAACCATGATATCTTTGATTGGGTCCTTCTGTAACTTATGCAGCGAGATGTCGTAAATGTTTCATAAACGCTCCCGAATAGATTATGAGACTAATGAGTATAATGATGTATTCAAACAGATAACTTGTTGAAATATCCAGATGATAGAAACAAGTAGCCCAGATATTCAAACAGGTCGCCTAGAATTCAACTCATAGAACAGACTTGTAACGTTATAACATTTAACACATTGATAAATACAGTATGTACAATATGTTGTCTTATTGTATGTATATAAATCTACATATTGATACATTTTCAAGGTTTTTACATGACAACATGGTAGTAAGTATGAATCACTATTCAATATTTAATTATCTATTCACTTAATGAATTTTAACTGTTTATACAATGTAAGCAAAGATGGATAGTGGTTAGTAATGGAGTACAGTTTGATGCGCGTTTCATCCTATGTTGGACTCATCAGCTGGAGGTAACTACATCGCAGAGCTGATATTCACTACGGGATTCGAACTCGGTATCGTTTATACGATGATTATATAGAAATTTATTTAAATTAATTAACTTTATTTTTATCTTTCATCAAGTCAGAAAAGCGGGGGGGGGGAAGGTGTAGAGATTATAGTAAGTTTTAATGGTTGAATTCATGAACTGATTAATATTAGAGTACTATTGAAGACTTGGAAGTATTAGATGGTTGTTTTATCCTAGTATGGGACTCCTTAGCAGTGAGCATCCACGATCTTGCCTTGAGAGATTCGGACCCACGACCTATCAGTCTCGCACAAGACCACTGAGCCAACATCTAACCGTTTTAATGTCTAACTCTAACCAATCCACGAAATTGCTTCACCATACACCGTACAAAAAACCCCTCCTGATAATAAAATAGTAGTAAAGAGTATAAAGAGCCAATTATCTGATAATTACATAATGAAGATAATGATTCACCCTATGAATAGTCTTAAAGTTAAAGATTTCTTAACATCCCCTTAGATGTAACAAATATTATACTGGCAAATAGAACCGATATACAGACGTGATAGGTTATACTTTGCGTAGAACTGAGTAACCCCCCCCCCCGCCACCACCCTCCGATGATATTTTTTTAAGAATTCGTATATTTCAGTTATTAATCTCGAGAACTGCAATTGATCAGTCACTATTGGTCAAATTACATCTTAAACAGACACCTTCTATATTGCGGTTAAATCAAAAAATGTTATCAAAAATGAATAATCACTAGGTGTGGAACTCATCTATTGAATTCATCTACATCTCACTGTTGATATTCACATCGAGACACAATCTCATTACCTATCATATTAAGAGACAACATTCTTCACAGTTAATCACTGAGTCAAATGTTAAGATCAACAAATGGGAAAGTACAAAATCTTTACAAATAAGATTTATATCCATTGGACAAAATAATGATTATCAGGAGTCATTTAATAAACGGATTATAAGAGTATTGTATAGTAATAAAAATTTCTTTATCTTTTAATAATATCTGCAAGATTTTTGTATTTTCCGATTGCTGATGTTACATTACACTGTGAATTGAGGACAGATATGAGAATAATGAAAAACAAATGGTTAGAACTAGAAAAGAAACCTCAGGATAGAGCGAATTAGAGAATACCGGTCGGTAACCTATACTTCACTGAGAGTAACAAGCATAAGTAAAGGGAAGTAAATATCCACATTTTGATCAGTATTTCTAGTAGATATCGCCATATGATTACAAATATTTACTGAAACTAGAGCGTTCTAGATTTCAATGATATACACTTTCTATTATCAGACATTAACACCGTTGGATACTGATCTCGTGACTGAGCATTCGCGCATGAGACTGATAGGTCGTGGGTTCGAGTCTCGTGAAGTAGGATCATGGATATGCACTGTCAAGGAAAAGTTCTACAATAAGATGAAACGACCATCCAATGGTTCCAGGTTTTCCATGAAGGTCTAGCTTCAATTAAAACTCATGATTTCAACGATATTTTGTTGTCTATTCTTTCTATTTAAAGTTACATCCAAAATGTATGCGATCATAATTCAATATGTACAAACATTTATCATTAAGGGTTTAATTCATTCAATGATAGATTATCGATTATATCTTTTTTATTCTTATTTACAATAACGTTGATCTACCCACTTATTATGTAACAGTGATTTTGACCTTTAATCGAATTTTTTTAAACTTTCATGTTCATCTAATGATTCTTTAAATGTAACCCATTGAATTCAATGAGTCGATCTAAGATAAATCAATAATTAAGATTTAAGAGTACTGGATCACTGTTTTGTTCTAGTAATGAACTCTCCAGTAGAGAGGACATCCATGATTCCAGACATAGGAATTAAACCCAATGTCTTCGAGCTTGCATGGTAAACACTTAAGCTCTACACTAGTGAATTGGTATCCGATAGTATTAATGTCTAACTTTAATCGATTCATGATTTGGCGCAAGATTTCAACTATTGTCTGAGGTGGATAACTGTCTGACATCTGACATGGATTGAACACTACTGATCACTGTTTCTCATTAGAACTCTAGGAAATTCATCTTGAAACTAGTCACTCGTGAGTATATGATAATCATCAGAATGAAGGATTTATGGAGATTGTAGTAATTTTAACAATTGAATTCATATATAACAAAAAATATATTTATTATTAACATTCTATTCAATGTTCAATTTATTCGAAACTATCAAGTCTATCCTGAGTATTGATATTTATACTTACTTACTTACGCCTGTTACTCCTAATGGAGGAGATAAGGCCGCCGACCAGCATTCTCCAACCCACTCTGTCCTGGACCTTCCTTTCTAATTCTATCCAATTCTTGTTCATTTTTCCCATGTCTATCTCCATTTCCCGGCGTAATGTGTTCTTTGGTCTTCCTCTTTTCCTTTGGCCTTGAGGATTCCGTGTGAAGGCTTGTCTTGTGATGCAGTTCGGTGCTTTCCTCAATATGTGTCTTATCCAGTTCCAGCGCTTCTTCCTGATTTCTTCTTCCACTTAAATCTGGTTTGTTCTCTGTCACAGTGAGTTGTTGCTCATAGTGTCTGGCCAACCAGTCCTAAGTATCTTGTGTAGACAACTGTTAATAAACACTTGTATCTTCTGGATGATAGATTTCGTAGTTGTCCAAGTTTCCGCCGCATAGAGTAGAACTGTCTTGACATGTGTATTGAAAATCCTGACTTTGGTGTTGGTTGACAGTTGTTTTGAGTTGCAGATGTCCTTCAGTTGTAAATATACTGCTCTTGCTTGATATTTATAACCTAGGGTTAATTTACTAAACTATATAGAGAGACCATTGGATTGCAGTCCAGTGGTTTAAAGATTAAGCTTTTGTTTTAGAAACAAAAATGATTCGAATTCAATTCCTGGATGTACAAGTGTCGATCCCTACTTTTAAGAAGTTCAACACTACGATGAAACGTCTATCTACTACTTCTATCATTTCAGTGGTTAGTGATCTCAATAAGATTTAATGATCTCCATAACTTCATAATAATCGAAAAATTATATCATTTAGTATATATTTTAGAAACATTTCAATTTATATTCAATTCACAATATGGACTGAATTCATCTACACAAACTTTCCAAATCAGATAAGTCTCGTTTCAAAATGATACCCTCTCAATTATATGTAACCTATGAATTCATCAATCGATTCTTACTAGAACTTCAGGAAATACCTTTTGAAGCCACTCACTAGTGGGTATATGATGATTATTAATTTCAGAAGGTGTTTTGTGGATATTATAGTAATTTAAATGGTTGAATACATGAATCGGTGGACGATGGCGTAATTTCAAGGATTAGTTAAAGTAAGAGAATAACATCGTTGGATGCCTGTTAAGTGGTCTAATGGTTAGGTGCTCGCGTGCGAGACCGATAGGTCTTGGGTTTGGATTTCGCGAGGTGAGATCGTGGGATCGCACTGTCAAGGAGTCACATACTAGGACGAAATGGATGTCCAGTGCTTCGAGTTTTTCCATAGTGGTCTAGCTTCAATTGACTAATGATCTCAACTGTTAAAATTACTTTAATCTCAACAAAACCCATTCTGATAATAATCATCGTATGCTCACTAGTGACTATCTCCAGGAGATATTTCCTGGAGTTCTAGTGAGAAGCAGTGACCGGTGGAGTTCAACCGGGTCTGTTATGAGATGATAACTCACTGAAGATAATGATGGATGTGTCACTCAATTTCGCAGATTAGTTGAAGTAAGAGATTAACATCATTGAATGCCGGTTCAATGGTCTAGTGTTTAAGCGCTCGCTTGCAAGACCAATAGGTTCTGAATTCGAATCTCTCGAGGCGGGATCGTGGAAGCACACTGCTGAGGAGTCCCTTTCTAGGACAAAACGGTCGTCTAGTGTTTCCAGGTTTTCAATGATGGTCTAGCTTCAGTTGACTTATGAAGGCTTTCTGCTAAGTACTTTGTTGATTCCTATCTATAAGATCATTCATCTTTAATATGTATACATGTTCATCTTTATCTTTTATGAAACTTAGAATATAAAACAACAGTTTGTCATTGTTATAATGGATCATCATGAAAAAACAATCAATAATACTGAATCAATTCATTATGTTACAAATTATGTAACATTTCCATCAATTAAAGATCCTATTTATCATACAAGTCAACAAAATAATTACATTCATAATAATAATGATTATTATCGTAATCTTCATCATCATCATCTTCATCATCATTATGAACATAATCATCTTGATCCTTCTCAACAAAGACATCATTCATCTTGTAATAATCAATTACAACAACCTTATATACATTATACAGTAGATACAGATGAACATCTATTTCCAATCAATGATACACCTTCAATGACTACTACTAATAATACAACATCATATATAGAAGATATCAATGATAATGAATTATCTTTTAATCATAATGTAACTAATGTTTCAGCAACTGCTACTGCTACTGCAGCAGCTGTGGCAGCAGCGGCGGCGGCGGCTGCTGCTGCTGCATCTGCTGTAGCAGTAACAACTGGAGTTGTTGTCACTCTACATAATACAGATTATTCTATCAATTCTTATATTCATCAACCTAACTTATCATCTTCATCAAATTATAATTATTATCAATATTATTTAAATGATCCACAATATCAACATCATGAATCCATTGATTTATTCACATTACATCCTAATCATCCAATACAACAACAACAACAACAACAACAAGATATTGAAGATGTTAATAACAGAATTGATACTACATTTACACCTACTACTTCTAACAATAATCGCAGTAGTAATGATCCTATGGTTGCAACAACAAAACATACTATTCGACATTCAAATGATAATCGTATGAAATCACAAACAAAATTATCTATTTCTGATGATAATGATGATGATGCTGCTGATGAAGATGTAAAAGGTCGAAATCAAAATATACTTAAATCTGGTATGTTATGTCTTATATGTGAAGATAAAGCAACAGGTAAGTTGGTGTTATGAAGAGTGATGAATAATAATTAAGAATGAAATCTGTTATGTGTGGTTTTTTAATTCTATTTAAGATTTGTCAAATGGATGTAATTGTATCCTAAATTTGATACGACTTGGAATAACTACTTACTTACACCTGTTATTCCCGATGAAGGAGCATAGGCCATCGACCAGCATTCTTCAACCTATTCTGTTTTGAGTTTTCCTTTCTAGTTCTATACAAATGTTGTTCATTCTTTTCATATCTGTCTCCATTTCTCGGTGTAATGTGTTCTTTAATCTTCCTCTTCTCCTTTGACATTAAGGATTTCAAGTGATGGGGGCTTGTGCTGTGAGTCAATCGGATGCTTTATTTAATATGTGTTCTATCCACTTCCTGCGCTTGGAATCACTAGCTAAGTGAATAACATGATGGAGTTTGAAAAGAAAAGTACTAGGTTCGAGTCACAAAGTGTACATAACCTTTAGGATGCATATATATCTACTTAGTGATTACCAAATAGAATGAAATGGATCAACTTTCAGATCATTGAATTAGCATCAAATGATTTACTCATATAGTTTTAATCATTTGGTAACTTAGTATGGTAATATTAATGATGACTTACTTCGTATTGTTGTGTACTTGAATCTTCCGATTGATGTTTAGGATGGCAATTGATCAGTTGCTTATTAGCACATGTGCGTACTGTGCGGGTTGCGTCAATATTGCCTTAAGTCACAAGCTTTGTAAACGAAGATGGATAGAGGCTAGCAGTTTATTGTAGTTTGATGCGCGTTTCGTCCTATTTGGGACTCGTCAGCTGAATGTACCTGAATCTCAAAATCGACGTTCCCACTTCAGACATGAATGAACATTTATATATCAGTTTTATTTTTGGTTTACTATTTAGTAAAATGGTTTTATTAAGAGGTTATACAGTATAAGAATTAACTTCCATATTAAAGTAATATCATCTATTATATTGAACAATGTACTATAACGATCTTAAGTACTACCAGTTCATTATTGTACACTGAAATGAATTCAGTAGTCTGAATTCATATGTTTAAGACAGTCCTCTTGGTTTTGATGGAGTTTTATTCTCTGAGGTAGATGGTTTGGTCATAGAGCTTTTATCATTCTTCTGAACAACAAACTTCAGTTTGTGCTAATGATATTCGTTCAGTAGAACAGTGAAAGCTCTACGAGTAAACCATCCAGCTCAGAGAACAAAACTTCATCAAAATCATCCATCTGATCTACAAATCTCTTCCATCATCTTACAATCTTCTTGGTAATACACGATGAATCGGTAAATTAGAATAATTGAATTCTAAATTAATGTTATTAAAACCATAAACAGGTCTAAGTTAGAAAATAATTAAAAGTTCTGAAACATTGGATGGTTGGTTCGTTTTAGCATAGAATTGTTTGTCAGTGTACATCTACAATCCTACAGAGAATTCATCTCAGAATGATTAGATCTCAGAGAGAGTTTAATCTTTTGATTACGTAACAATTGTTATAGTGACCAGTGGAGTTCAACCAGGTCTGTTGTGAGATAGAAACTGATTGCGTCGTTCAACTCCGTGGATTGGTTAAAGTTAGCTATTAACATCGTTGAATGCCGGCTCAGGGACCTAGGGGTTAAGCGCTCACGGGCGAGAATGATAGGTTCTATGTTCGGACCTCGCGATGTAGGATCGTGGATGCGCACTGTCAAGAAGGAGTCATACAACAGAACGAAACGGCCATCTAGTGCTTCCAAGTTTTCCATAGCGATCTAGCTTCAATTGGCTCATGATCTCAACTATTAGAAGTATAATAAAAGTATTGAATATTTAATGAATCTAGCTTTGAATATTAATTCATTTAAGAACACTCGATCAGTAATTTGACAATTTTTGAAAATTTCCTATTCAGCTATTTCGTATATATTGAGACATTATAGGTGTGACTCGAATTTTTAGACGAACCAATGAGGAATAAGATAATAAGCCTTGGATTTTGGCGCGAAATTTATTCGTCAATTTGGTGAAATAGCGTCTTGGTATTTTAGCTGTTGTCAATTCATAATGAAAACCTTAAATCCAATTCCTATCCCTAACCATCAATTGTATGTTGGTGGACATTCTCAAGGTCTCTTTGGCGTCGTTCCAAGGTTATCCATAAATGATAATCTCATCAGATTATCAAATAGGATTTTCAGCTTTATGTACAAGTTGCTAAGCTCAGATTCATTAATCATTCTCTATTTTAATACAAATTACAACTTGATATGCCACATTCACTCAACATTCATTCATCGGTATCTAATATTAATCAATAACCGAAATACAATTTTAAAAAAACTGAATATAATTTGAATGTATCGCACTTATTCATTAAATAATTGAGTTTGTATTTATTTAAAGTTGTTTTTTGCGCGAAAAAAAGAGGTTGCAAGTTATATTTATATAAAATTCCAGTTATCAACACTTATGAAATACTGAACGGCATGATACAGCATGATACTCCTCAGAGGTGCGCACTCGGGATGTGAACCCAGGATCTTCAGTCTCCCGCATCGGGTAGAGACATGTATCTACCACAAAGAGTGGATGAATGGTCGTGCAGTTTTTCATGGATCGATGGAAGTTAAACATTAACATCGTTAGATGCCGGTTATGAGGTCTAGAGTTAAAGCGTTCGCACGTGAGGTCGAAGGTTCTCGCTTCGAATATTCAGTGCGGGTTGATGAATGCGCACTGTTGAAGAGTACGATACTAATACGAAATGGCCGTTCAGTGGTTTCAGGTTTCCCATGGTGGTCTGATATCAATCGATTCATGATCTCAGTCAGAAAAAAACCTAACAATCTCACACTTATGAAATACGAACCCAGGGGCTTCAGTCTCGCGCGCGAACGCTTAACCTAGTGGACCACTGAGTCGGCATACGGTGGTGTTAATGTCTAACCTCAACCAATCCATGAAATTGTGCAAATATCTTCTATCGTACTGAGGTAGATACCTGTTGCTACCCGACACAGATTAGCTCCACTGGTAACGTCTACTCACTAGAAATCCATGAATTCCCTCACGAAGCTAGTCACTAGTGAGCACATGGTAATCATCAGTATGGAGTTGTGGAAATTATAAAGTTTTTGATTGAGATCCTCAATTTCTCAGGTTGGTTGAGGTTAGACATTAACACCGACTCAATGGTCTACAGGCTAAGAGTTCGCGCGCGAGACTGAAGGCAGTGAGCTCGAATCCTGCAAGCTGGATCTTGGATGCACATTGGCAAGCAGGAGTCCTACAATAGGACGAAACGGCCGTCCAGTGCTTCCAGGTTTTCCATGGTCAGTCAGTCAGCCACAAAGTAGGATCAGGCACATACATGTATCGACCCAAGGTGCTATACCTCACTAGCACAACAAGATCAACACCGGATTCATAGAAGTAGTTAATTCAATGGCGGTAATATATAAAAGAAAGATTGCAATAAGGATATAGTACAGGAAAAAGAATAAGTTGGTAGAAAGAAAGATATGTAGCGATTTTAATCTCTTAGTTTAAGGGAAGACAGAGAGTGTATACACCGACGCCATTGTGATCGATTCTGAGACATGTCACTTAGAATCTCCAACCAAGTAGTCTGCACCTACAAACATGGCTAAGTCTAGAAGTTAGTGACTTCAAGAACTGATGTCACGTCTTAGTTTGGCCACTCCTTACGTTCTTCCAACCATTCCCAACACTATTCAGCATTGTCCGTCGTGATAATCGGTGTTCGAACATACGTAACACGTGCCCCAACCATCTCAGTCGATGAAAATTCACAACTTCATCAACTGATTTACCATTATTCCCTAATACACTGCGTCTAACCCCACTATTACTTACCCGGTGATCCCAGCAGACGCCAGCAATATTTCTAAGGCATCTGTGGTCAAATACTAATAGCTTACGAGTGTCTTCTACTCTTAATGGCCACATTTCGTAGCCTTAAAGTAAAACAGAACGAACTGCCCTATAGTATACTCGTCCCTTAATTAATAGACGGATATCTCGCGTTCACCATAGGTGACATAACTTGTCAAAAATCGAACGAACTTTTCAAATCCATGCTGAGATTTTGTCAAACACCAACACTACTCAAGACTATTGTTTTACATTGTGGTCGAATATCACTCGATTCATGATCTCAATCAAGAAAAATATAAAAAAAACGTCACAATCAGTTCTATACTGTTTGTTTGTGTGTATGTGGGTGTGTGTTGTTTTTTTCTGTTTTTTTTTCGATGGTGAGGAAATACTATTTTTCATTACACTGAAATAAATCAAAAAATGTTTCTATAATGGATACAATACGTTTTACATGGATATAAATTAAAATAACTTACTTGTGTGATATATCAATATTGTATGTATATGCATGTGTGCATGTGAATGTGAATGTGAATGTGCGTGTGTATGTGTGTGAATGTGAATGTGTAAACTTATCAACCACAAATGGTAAATATACATAAGTGTGTTTCATCAAGTCTACTATACAAGTGTTTTCTTTGTAATGAGTTTGTTGTTATTGTTATGGTTGATTAGGTACCATGTTAAATGATTGTTTCTATGTTTCTATGTAAGTGATTTTAATGATAAGAAGTTAGATTTGATGTAATGTAAACATGAAAAAAAGTATATCTCATTGATAAATTTAAGTGTACTTGAGATGTGTGATATTTATGTCGATATTTTTAGTTTAGCTAATTAATTAATTACTTACTTACTTACTTAAGTCTGTTATTCCCAATGAAACAAATCTAATCATTTCAATTTTGTCCTTCGTGTTCAAGGAAGAATTATGACGCCTTATGATGAAAGCCGAGATTCTTTGGAAATCACGATGGACGATGCGTCTTCTAACAACCACAGGAGCAATTATTATAGGTACATGAAATGTTCGGATTATGTGAGAGACTAGGAGAACCAGTCAAATAGCAACGGAAATGAGGAGATACAATCTGATAGTGTTCCGAATTAGTGAAACCTATTGCACCTAAGCTGGATAGAAAAGGATGGATTCGGGAGAGATGCTGCTATACTCTGATCATGAAGAGAAAAGTGTTTCATGTACTCAGGGAGTTGCTTTGATGCTGTCCAAAGTACAAAAAGCACTTGTAGAATGGAACCTCATGGATCCAGGATCATCAAAACACCCTTCAAAACAAAGGAGGAAAATATAATGAATATTATTTAATGCTCTGTACCCACCAGTAATAGCAATAGCGATGATAGAGATTAGTTTTACGAGAGGCTGGAATACATCATAGCCAAAATTCCAAGAAACGATCTTACCATCCTGATGGGAAACCTAGACGCTAAAGTCGGAATGGACAACACCTGGCATGAAGATATCATGGAACGATATCGACTGCGAGAAAGAAGTATGAATGATGATGATAGATTTGCAAATATATAGATATATATTCGATCGAGGTTGATTGAATTCCATGTTAGACATGATTATTACTATCAGGAAAAAGTTTGATAATAGCATTATTTAACAGATATATTCAGAGTCCCAGAGTGAACATCAACTCTCAGATGCAGGTACATCCAGCTGAAGAGTTTAAAAAAGGACGAAACGCGCGTCCTGGATTCCACTGCTAGCCACTATTCATCTTAGTTGAAAAAGATTACATAATAGTTCCGGTAAAAATTGAAAATTCATGGGGACAATGATCATCTTTTTCGATAGTTGAGATCACGAGTCAATTGATACCAGACCGACATGGAAAGGATGGAAGCGCTGGATATCCATTTCATCCTAGTGTCGGACTTCTCAGTAGTGCGCATACACAATCCCACCCCAAGAGATTCGGATCCAGGACCTACTGGTCTCGTGCCCACGAACGCTTAACATGTGGACCACTGAGCCCGCATCCACTGGTGTTAATGTGTAACTTCAACCAAACCACGAAATTTTGCCACCGTCCACTGTTGTCTTCAGTGAGTTACTATCTCACAATAGACCCGGTTGAACTCCTCTGGTCACTGTTTCTCACCAGAACTCCAGGAAATACTTACTTTTATCCATGAAACTTTTTTCTTAGTAATGTTTCTAATTATACATTTGAATACTCGCAAGTAGTATAAAATGTATTACCACATTTTCCATGGAAACCGCTTACAAGATAATCAAATATATTGAATAATTTCAATAGTTGAGATCGTGAGTTAATTGAAGCTAGACCACCATGGAAAACCTGGAAGCACTGGGTTTCAATCTCGCAAGGCGGGACCGTGGATGTACACTGCTGAGGAGTCACACAATAGAGCAAAACGGTCGTCCAGTGCTTTTAGTTTTTCCGTGGTGGTCTAGCTTTAATTGGCTTATGATGTCAACGGTTGAAATTACTATAATCTCTACAAAACCTCTTCTGGTGTTAAATAATTATTTCTATTGTATAGTATGTACTTAAATAATGATGGCACTGCAGTTTGAATTATGATAACGAGAGTTTATAAAAACTGTCAACTTAAAATTAATCAACTTTTTTTAGTAAAACTACCAGTTAGCAAAGGTTCGTATTTTTGGAGTTCTATACTCAGGACTCCAACTGACAGAGTCTCTGTGTCATATATGATTTCTTGGTAGATTGTCTCTATATACTGCTATTAAAGAAGTTTAAGTATACTTGATATATATTTCTGGTTAGCGTTTTTTAGCGAGTTAGTTTTCTACGGGATGGGGTAGCTAACCCCATGCCCAACCCTCCTCCTTTATCCGGGTTTGAGACCGGTAGTAACCCCTGGAGGGACTCCAGGTGGAGTTATACTTGATATGTAACTGGCAGTGAAATCTATAACACTTGATTGGTTCTGTTATGAAGTGGTTATAACGAAGTACTTGTATCCCAGTGATGATTTTCTATGTATATAGAACATAGAATAATGTCTTCAGGACATCCATATATACATAAATAATCATAAACTCATGATATCACCTGACAAATTACTAGAAATCAGCTGTTACCTATCTGTTGTTCAGTCCAAGTTTTAAGTTCTTAGCCAAGATGCTCTCCTCATCTTATACAAGATTGTGTTGTACATCTTCAAGTTTAGTGAACCCTATCCTGATCAGATAATTACCAAGTTGGTTATTAATCACATAGCAACTATTCTATGATCAATTTTGAATAAACTCTTTTGTTAACTTAATTAATAGACAATATTAATTGAATAGTAACAATTCGTCTATTTCTTTGTACTGTTATGATCACTAGAATACATGACAGACTCTAGCTAAAATGTTGATTGTTTAAATATCAATCGATTATTCATCCTCATCCTCATCCTCTTGATGTATGCGAATCCTGTTATTAGCTTTTACTTTGCCTTTTTGTGCCCTTATGCTATTCGACTACAAATTTGTTTATGTACTCGTCTCTCCGCTTCGAATTCTCTTGATGTGCTTATAACTTTGTGATCTGCGCTATCTGTCAATAAACTGTAGTTGCTGCTTATCCATTACCTTCTGATCTCAAACACCTTTGAGATTTATATTCTAATGATTATCGAGTTGATTGATTAACGAAGCGAAGCCATCAGAATCATTGTATCATTGTCAGAACAAAACAGAACCTATCATGTTATTACTACACTGTTTTATTTTGTACATAATCTAACATCCAAAGTAAGATTGAAGAAGGGGGAAGACCTTACGGAATAATTTTTCTAATTAGGGTTTTTTTAACGAATAAGTTTTCTACGGGTTGCGGTCGCTAACTTCATGCTTAACCCTCCTTCTTTATCCGGGTTTGAGACCGGCAGTAGCTCCAGAGGGGCTCCAGGCGGAGTTGAAACTTTACGGAAATGGAATGTTTTTAAATAGATCAAACTAGATTCATTTATAAGATGGTGGTTAGAGGTAGTCAACAAGAAACCCTGGACTCGGGTTTCGTGCTACTTGGCACTCGTCAACAAGGCGTACCTGTAATCAAGTAGCACTAGTTCCCTCGAGATTACAGGGTTTCCTATTGATTACCTCCAACCACCATCTTATCTCAACATAGTGCAAGCTATGTTGAATCATCTAGACTAGTGGCCACATTGCAACTTGTTCGATAGCATTCAATCTGCACTAAGAAGGACTTGACACACATAATATTGATCACCATTGAGTGATCAATTAATTGTAGATTGATTTATTTTTGACCCATTCAAGTAGAACTTTCTTTATCTCGTTCCATGGGATTAACTTTGTTCTGTCTTCGTTTTTTTTTCTTCCTAATTTTCATCATGTCTAGGTAAACATTATGGTGCTTATTCATGTGATGGATGTAAAGGATTTTTTCGACGTTCTGTACGTCGTAAACATTCATATACATGTCGTCATAAGAAAAATTGTATTGTGACAAAAGATAAACGTAATCAATGTAGATTTTGTCGTTTTCGTAAATGTTTTCGTGTTGGTATGAAAGAATCTGGTAAGAAATAAAACTGTATCTTTCTATTGTAATTATGAATACTTACTTACATACTTTACTTACACCTGTTACTCCTGATGTAGGAGCAAAGGCTGCTGATCAGCATACTTCAACCCATTCTGTCCTGAGCTTTCCTTTCTAGTTCTATTCAATTGTTGTTCATTCTTCACATGTCTATCTCCATTTCTCAGCGTAATGTGCTCTTTGATCTTCCTTTTTTCCTTTGGTTTTGAGGATTCCAAATGGAAATTATGAATTGTCTACATGTAAAATATGACGATGAATTTTACTTCTTACATTTTAAATGATGTCCTTACGAATGTGACCATCAAAAATGTCTATCTAGGTATTCAGTCTCGGTTCTATGTAGTTTGTATAAGAACAAATAATACTACATGGTTGTCCAAAGCAAAGTAGGTATGATGGGATTCGAATCTGGAATCTATGAATTAAAACCGTAGTGTCTTCAACCATTAAGATATCACTTGTTCATCAGATATGAAATAAGCTAGTGTACAAATTCATTGGATCCATTCAAATGATTAGACATAATGGACTGGTTCGATGAAATACTTCAATCTCAGTGAAACTATAATATATAGACGATCATTGAGCGACGTCAAAGTGACCTTGAGAGGGTCTACCTACTTAATAGGGCTAAATGAAGATTATAAAGCAGTTTGAGGAATATAGGTAATGACTGACAACTGATGTTAAGGGTTAGAATTTAGATTTAGGGTTTTCATCATGAACTGATATCAGCTTAAATGCCAAGATTCTATTTAGAAGAATGTATGAGTGAATTTCACATCAAAATCCAAGACCTGTTGTCTTAAATCTGATTGGTTCGTACATTAATCATAGCCTCGCCATCAAATCAGTATGAATGCACTCCTTGATGTGAATCAGTGTGTTCTAACTTTGTAAACTATTGATATGATGATTACTCGGATTCAGTTTTTGTATTTACTCAAATTAAAAACCATAAATAACCTTGAAATATTTGATGATGATACATTTATACTTGAATACTTTTAGACATCGACTTCCAAGTGTGATGTGTGCTATTGATGAGAGCATGAGAGCGTGACCGCAGTGCTCAAGGGACAACTGCCTGTGATCGGTCACACACGACCTTTTTATGATTAATTTCCGTGTTAGCTCCTTACATGGTAAAACCTCATCGCCCGAGACGGATATCCGTGGGATAAGGGGAGGTGTCCATCTATAGGGTCGACTTTTTCTAACCCCACCTCTCCTTGTGGGAAGGCACCTTACTGCCGTCACACCTCTGTACAGTCATCAGTACGACTTCGCCTTCGGACCTTGGGTTTGTTGCTTTTAATCAACCGACCTGTCTGACATGGTAGGACCTTGAGAAACGATTGTTGTAGCTATATCACGATAGGCAGGCCCGACCACCACATCAAGGTAGCAACAACGGTCGGAGATCTAGCTTGGATCAACTTATGAATTTAACTATTTGATCTATATTTCATTGATTATTCACTTGTTTAATCTTTTTAAATTTCTTTTTAGCTGTACAAAAAGAACGTGATAAAATAAGTAATCGTCATACAACTTATGATCCTAATTCATCAATTCATTCAAGTATAGATTTACAAAAATTATTACAAGCTGAAGCAATAGCTAATTGTGTACGTCCTATTGTGATAGTGTTTACATTGTTTTCAATGTTCAATGTATGAAATGTGTGTGTTTTTTTTGAAGTTTCCTTGTTGCCATGTATCATATTTATGACAGTAATAATCAGTAAGAAAGTATGAGAATTTATGTTTTATAAGCAATGATGGATAGCGGCTAGCAGTGGAATCCAGGACGGGCGCTTCGTCCTATTTGGGACTCGTCAGCTGGATGTACCTGCATCTGAGTTGATGTTCACTCTGTGACTCGAACCCAGTAGCATTCGTTTCAAACGCCATCGTGTTATCCACTCAGCTACTGAGTCCTGATAACCACTTGATTATGCGATGGGGTGAATTTAAATGCATTTGGTATTGTTTGACTTGTATCCCCCCATTACAATATCGAGGCATACGCACTGTATGCACATATGCCAATAACAGACTGATCAATTGCAGTCTTAAAAAACACACTCAATGAGGAGATACAAGCAAAACAATACCAAGTGAATTTATGTTTTATGTTTATTATATTTTTACTAATATAGGGTTATACCCATAGCACAAGGCCTCATCGAGTGAGTTGTGAAGATTGTTGGTTCTTATTGAGATTACAAACTGATTCAAGTTAGATGACTTATAAGAAAATCTGGAAGTACTGGACAGTTGTTTCATGCTTATCTGAAACTTCTAAGTAGCGTTCATCTGTAAGTTCTAGTAAAAAGTCATGATCGTTAGAGTTTAGTTGTGTCAAGTGGGAAAAAAGTTACCTACAGAAAAAAAAGAATGTTCGAAAAATGTTATGGATTGATTGAAATTAGATATGTAAACCAATGGATTTCAGCTCAGTTTAGAGGTTTAGAGGTTAAATGTTTGAGTGGATGACAAAAGATCCTGAGTTTCATTACCGATTTCACAGTCGTAGATCAATACTGTTGAGATGTTATATATTGATGTCAGATGGCTATCCATTGCTTTCAGATCTTCAATGGTTGTCTAAATTAGAGTGTTATCTGATTTCAATAGTCTTATATATTTGTTACAAAAATTTACGTACATAGCAACAAGAATATCTCGGTTGTTTCGAAAAGAACCTTCAGAGTTTGTTATCCATACTTTTGTTATGGATTGAAATTTTAACTTCGATCCAATCTTATTTGGAAGAGAAAAAGAAAAATCAGTTCGTTAGAATGACAGATGTACCATACAATGTCTAACAAACTATTCAGTTGTCTCAATCATAGTATATGGTCACTAGTGATTAGCTTCAAGAAGTATTTCCTGCGATTCTAGTGGAAAGCAGTGACCAGTGGAGTTCTGTCGGGTCTGTTGTGAGATGGCAAGTCACTGAAGACAATAGTGGACGGTGGCTTAGTTTCGTGGATTAGTTGAAGTTAGATATTAACACCGATAGATGCCGCCCAACTCAGTGATCTAGAGGTTAGGCATTCGTGCGTTGAACTGATAGGTCCTGTGTTCGAATCTCATGAGGTGGGATCATGTATGCGCACTGTTAAGGAGTCCCACAATAGAACGAAACGACCGTCTTGTGTTTCCAAGTTTCCCATGGTGGTCTAGCTTCAATCGACTAATGATCTCCACTAGTAAAATCACTATAAGATGAACAAAACCCCTTCTGATATCAATCATAATTGGCTCTAATTAATGCTGACTAATCTGGTTTACAGTCATATTTTTTCATAGATAATCTTCTATGCAAAGTGGTCATAAAAACTGAGGGTTACACGTTACTTGTGATTATACATCCTAAGTGAATTATTATTTGGTCATAATTTATTATTAAAGATACCGAATTGAAATTCAATTGTGAATGCCCACTATTTAGATGTAAGTATATTCAGTTGAAGAGTCCTAAATGAGACGAAACACATGTCTTTGATGAAACTGATAACTATTGAAAAATATAATTTAAAAATTTAAAATGAATTACCCTATTTAATTATACAAATGATGGTTTTTTAGAGATTGTAGTCATCCTAATAGTTGAATTTATGAATCAATTAAAGCCAGACCACTATGAAAAACCTGGAAGCACTGAACTACCATTTCATCCTCAACAATGCGCATCCACGGTTAAGTGTTCACAAACAAGATCAATAGGTTCGAATCAGGCTTGCGAGATTGTAGATGCGCACTGTTGAGGAGTCCCATACTAGGAAAAATAGGTCGTCCAGTGCTTCCAGGTTTTCCATGATCTTCTAGCAGCTTCAATTGTCTCATGAATTCAACTATTAAATTACTAACAGTAGGGATTTTGTGGATATTATAGTAATTTTAATAATTGAGATCATGAGTCAATTAAAGCCTTGGTACGGCCGAGAGTGGGGAGAGTTCGTTCCCCCTCTCCAAATGCTCTCACATTGCCACGCGTATATAGTCTCTGCCACGGAAGTCCTACTCGCTGCCTTCTCGTGGCAGGGATGTTGTCCACAAAATTGAGAGGATGAAAAGCGAATGTCTGGTGGGAGCTTGAACCAGGTTGGTGGATATAGAGAGTCCACATAGGGGAGTTGGAAAACCCTCATTCCAAACCAATGGAAAACATGGGCTCCAGTATCCTGAGTGAACAGATGGCGTATGAACCAATCGTTGGTCACCGGCTACCAAGTAACTGTATCTCCTTACGATGCTCCACTGCCTTGTGGATCAGGTCTTCAAGTCGAAGGCTCCAGGTGTTGCCCCTTAATAAAACCACCTGCTTCGGTTTGGGCACCCGAGCAGTATCACAGCCCTCACACATATCAAATGAGATTTGTGTGGTGCATATGTATTTGGTGCCTCCTTGTACAAATATATATGTGTTAAAATAAAATAAAATAAAATAAATAAATCAATAAATAAAGCTAGATCATCAGGGAAAACTTGAAGGCACTAGATGGTCGTTTCGTCCTACTACGGGACTTGTCAACAATGTACATCCACAATCCCACAGGCATAACACGAACCCAGGACTAATCAGTTTCATATGTGAACACTTTATCGTAGATGCACACTGCTGAGGAGTTCCACAGTAGGACGAAACAGTCATACAGTACTTGTAGGTTTCACCATGATAATCTAACTATTCAATTATATGAATCAATCCATAATTATTTCTCAATAGATTTTTTTTTAATTCCTTTTTCTATTGATAGGCAATTCATCAAAATTATATTAATATCACTAAAAAATCATCAGATTTATATAATGAACAATCAAATTATAAAGAATTACATGAAAATAATTTAGCTAATATTAATGATATTTGTGAATCAATCCGTACTCAATTAATATTTTTAATTGAATGGGCTAAAAATCTATCCGTATTCACATCATTAACAATTAATGATCAAGTAAGTCAGATTACAGATCAAAATGTATTTACTTACTGTTAGCGGGACATAGACTAGATTAAAGCATGCTCAATGCATGATTGTTTTGGTGCACGCTGATTGGCTGATTCTTATCCAATCAGCAGTAGTCGATAGTCGGAGAATATTCTGGAATCTTCTTATGTAAAAACTATAAATATACCGACGTTTTCCCCTATTGTGCTTCCTACTGGCTTCTGACTTGCTATTTGGAATATAATCTCTTTCTTGTTCAACCGTGTTTTGATTTGGGGACTTGTCGAGTGAATCGGTGTCCGAGAATACCAAGCAATAGGAATAAGCTGGGTCATTAACCGTAAGAAGAAACAGAGTTATAACACTTACTTACTTACTTACGCCTGTTATTCCCAATGGAGGAGTATAGACCACTGACAAGTATTCTCTAACCCACACTGCCTTTGGCATTCCTTTCTAGTTCTATACAATTGTTGTTCATTTTTCTCATGTCTATCCTCAGTTCTCAATATGATGTGTTCTTTGGTTTTTCACTTTTTATTTGATTTTGAGAATGAGTAATTTTTATTTAATTTCTTTGAATAGATTGCATTATTACAAGCACATGCTGGTGAAATGCTTATTCTTGGTGCTATATGGCGATCAATTACATTAGGACCAACATTGAATAAATCAAATGAATATAAAATAGAAAAATCAAAATATTTTGAACAAAACACTAATCAAAATGACAATATATCTATCAATGATACTATAGATGATATAACTATTACCTTGGATTCAAATGTTGTTGCTATGGTTACTACTACTACTACGACGACGACGACGACAACCACATTAACTAATTCATGGAATACTACTGTTACTACTACTACAACTACTACTACACCAACGACTAATAATGGTAGTAATAATAATAATAATGGAGATCAGTCATTACAAAAGAATCAAATCATTGATAATACAATAGATACTACTTATTTACAATCTATTAATTATGAACCACAATTTATTTTATTAGGTAATAATCGTATTATATCAAGACAAAATCCATTACCAGAAATAGCTGATTTAGCTAATATGATTATTAATGAAATCTATCAACCAATACAAAATTTATGCTTAGATGAAATTGAAATTGTTTGTTTTAGAGCAATAATGTTTTTTGATCCAAGTATGTAAGAATAGATTGGTTTTATCATCATTATTATGTTTTCTTTTGTATGTTCAAAGATCATGAGTCGATTGAAGCTAGACGACTATGGGAAACCTGGAAGTACTAGATGGTTGTTTCGTCGTATTGTGAGACTTTTCCTTGGCAGTGTACATCCACTGTCCCATTTCATGAGATTCGAACCTAGGACTTATTGGTCTTGCATGCGAACGCCTTACCTCTAGACCACTGAACAGGCTGGCATCCAACAGTGTTAATATTAAACTTTATTTAATTCACGAAATTGGATGACATATCCACCATTGTCTTCAGTGAGTTACTATCTCACAACAGACCCAGTTGAGCTCAACTGGTCATTGCTTCTCATTAGAACTCCAGGATATACCTCTTGAAGTCAGTCACTAGTGAGCATACGTTGATTAGTATTAGTAGGGTTTTTTTAAATATTTTGGTAATCCTATACTTGAATTCATGAGTCAATTGAAGCTAGACTACCATAGAAAACCTGGAAGCACTGGACGGTTGTTTCATCTCAATATGGGACTCTTTAGTAGTGCGCATCGACGATTTCGCTCGCGAGATTCGAACATTAGACAATAATGAAAATTGTGTTTACAAAAGAATTTAACCTATACATTTAGATAGACTTTTGTTCTGTACAATTGCACGCTTGTCAGGAAGAGATATCTGAAATCTTGAGGAAATTTATTGTCTATATGGGATGTACACATAGATCATTCAGTTTCTTATTCAATAAAAATCAATTCTAGGCTAATTTGTATCAGAAGGGGTTTTGTGGATGTTATCGTAAGTCAATTGAAGCTAGACCACCATGAGAAACCTAAAAGCACTGAATAGCCATTTCATTCTATTATCAGACTCCTCAGAAGTGCGCTAATTTGTTATCGATTGTTCCGTTATAGAACTAAGATATTTAAGTACATTAATTAATAAACACAGAGTAATAGTGTACTTCACTACTCCTATTACAATCTGTCAAGTTTGATCAGTCACTCATTTATTTCTATTATATCCGGACGAAGAATAAGTGAATGATAACTGCTAGGATCTATTTATGGACTATTATTACATGTACATTCATATTCCTTTTATTATAAGCTTCCATTTAATCTATTGGCTATGATTATATGATTTACTATTCTTAAGTTACTTCCAATTTATCAGTAATACTCTCTCACATTCAAATACATGGTTATTATTGCAGACGCTAATATTAATGTTCTGGACTGAACCGGTTGAGTTAGGCAAGAAGCTACTATCTTGGAAGACACAGACTTGACACTAAACTGCTCGTACTGTTTTATACGTCACTAGTCTGTTCAATAAGTTGGTGCTCTAATTGGAGATCATATTACGTGATATATATTCTCAGGGCATAAGGGCATAACATAATCCACTGTTTATACCACCACTAACGCTGTGATAGACGGGAAAACCAGTTGGGTCAATCAAAATGTTTTAACAGAACATTACAGAATATCCTGGTAAGATCTGAGAACCAAACAATTTGTTGTTTCTTCGTTTCCACAGCAATCACTCTCTGTTCTTGCTCTCTTCTCTTCGATCTTCTTAACATTCTGACTCCAGGCATTTCACTTTCTATTGGTGATATATACTACTTATACCTGTCGATATCAGTAGCACTGCACTACACTTATATGAATATAATTAGTAAACTTGTCTAAAATAAGACAATAGGCAGGAGAAATGTTTGTTTACTTTATGAAGTTACAAAGTATTTACATAATAAACATATATAGCCTTCAATTGTCCATTTTCATCTTTCGGTGTATTCTACCGTCTTCAAATGTATTACTAACTCCATGTTTTCAATACACTGAAACTCTTCACTCCTGAGCTGAATGGTTTGGTCGTGGAGCTTCCATCGTCCTTCTGAAGGACATCATCAGCACAAACTTCAGGTCGAAGTGAAGTGTTCGAATTTCTTCACATGTAGTTCACAGCTTATCCTGCACACCTCGATGTTGATTAGTTCTTGTTGACCTTGAACCTGTCACTGTTTACTTCTTTGTTTTGGTTGTATCTCCCGCTGGTTTGGTTTTTAGTTCTATGTTTGTTCATAATTTTCCTGATTCATTGATAAATTGGCTTGATTTCAATATACTTGTTGACGACTGATTGACCTGAATGCCATGCTTCTAAGAATCCTCTAGTGTTTTTGGAATTACCTCTAACCAAACGTTCCACATATCTATGAAAACTCCAAGACCAAACCATCCAACTCAGAGAAAAAAAACTCTATCAAAATCATCCATCTGAGCTACAAATCTTCTCCACCAACTTTTCACTCTATTTGATGTTAATGCTAGGTTTGAAGCGATTACGAGTTCACTTAGTCTGAGAACAGAACAAAGACTTGTGACCAAAGACCAACAAACTAGCTATTGTGTTGCGTCCTAGCCTCGCTAATTAGAGAGAAAAGTCGAAGTCCGAACGGGGAAATATATTTCACAAAAAGTCAGAAGCACGAGCGTTAAGTACTCTAGACTGATCGCACAGGTTTTAGGCGTTCGACCGATAATTCACTACTTTCTAATTGGTGGTATCATCTCATTATACGTTAACAGGGTACACAGGCCACAAATTATAACAATTGGTTACGGGGATAAAGAACAAAGAACCAACATCACAAAGTTATAACAGTTTACTTCCGTTACACACTACTTATAAATAATCTTGTGAGTAGTATCCATTACCTCTGTAATTTAAAATTATTTTGTTTATTTGCTTTTTATCAACAAAAAACAAAGGTTGTGAATCATTATCAGAAAATGGACGTTTATTAATACGTAGTTGTCAATATCTCATACAAATGGAATTAATGAATATAATGAATGGTAAATTATATTTACCACAAGGTCGTTTCGGTGCATTATTATTATTAATACCAGAATTTCGATCAGTTACTTATCAAATGATTCATAAATTACAAATTATACATCAAATGGGTTTTACTAAATTAGATGGTTTATTATCAGAGATTTTATTGAATAGTAAGTAATGATTTCTCTTTATTTATTTATTTAAACACTTAAACGTTGATACAAGGAGGTATCAAATAGATATGCGCCATACAAGTTACTTGGTTTGTGTGTAGGGTTTGATACATCCCTGACGACTAGATCGAAGCAGGTGATTTTCTTAAGGGACTACACCTGGAGCCTTTGACCTAAAGATCTGATCCACAAGGCAGTGGAACATCGTAAGGAGATGCAGTCCCATGGTAGCTGGTGACCAATGATTGGTTCACATCCCATTGGTTCCTTCAGGATCTTGTACTCCATGTGTTCCACTGGTTTGGAATGACGGTTTTCCAGCCCCCCTATGTGAGCCCTCCATATCCACCAACCTGGTTCAAGCCCCCACCGGACATTCGCTTTTCATCCTCTCAATTTCGCAAACAACACTCGTGGTGCTGTGGTGTTTGCTACTTTTATTGACATAAGTAGTATATAATACGAGTCAGCAATATCATATCTGGCAGCAGAAGATTGATATAATCGGTTGTCCTCACCTATGTTCTCCTTCATTACAATGCGAGAAGGCAGTGAGCAGGACTTCCCTGTCAGTGATTGTATGCATATGTCCGTACCAAGGCATTCGATTTGTCATTGTATAACAGCTGTTTGTTTAATACTCAATTGAATTTGATATAAATTGATGTGTTTCTAGGTACTTTTTATTATGTTTCTTTTTCTAATCAAGATTTTGATGTTTCTTTCAGTAAGCATAATCATAGTTATTTATATTCATTGTTATATTTAATGAAATATTAAGGTGTTTAATTGTAAGTTGAAATTGTTATGGTGTGTGATACTTGCGTTGATATAAGTAGATATGACACTTGTCAGAAATAGAATGTCCTATCCCTCCATGAGGGTAATACTTATCATTCCTTTTATGATTCAATCATATTGTAGCGATCTCACGCTGCAACTCATCAATCTTCTTTTCGTCACTGTTTATCTCCGGATTTTCACATCCGACTGGAGATATTGTTCGGGCAATCGAATGTCGGATTACTTTAGTCAGTTTACTGGTATCCATAGGCTGTGCAGTGTTTACTAGTTTCAGCTGCTGAGGAACAGTGGCAGGCATGCTCTCGATAAACTGCGACGCCAACAACTGTGTCTCTAACTCTTCATCCAGATTCGGCAGCGCGCGTTGCAACAACCTGTTAAGCTCCACAGCCAGCACCAGTGGGTCAACATCGATCGTCATTTTTGCGGCCAGAACTTCTGCAGTGCTTCTTCCTTGTCCACTGGGCTGTCGAGCCCCGTGATCAACCGCTCCGTGACTGTCTCCCATACCGCCTCTCCTCCAGCACCGTCCAAACTGTCACATACCTCCTTCACCCTGCCCCTCAGCAGCGTCCATAGCACCACCATCTTCACCTTGGGCTCCTTCACCTCCACTAGCTCCGCCACGGCCTCAAACTCCTTAAGAAATTCTTTCCGTCATGGAACCTTCATCCGTAGTGGAGGCAGCGACCCCAAATGTAGTGAAGACAGTTGTCAGACAAAGCTAATACCCTACTCTTTTCTCTGGTGGTTGACTGGATTATGAAGACCTCGATATCTGAGGAGAAGCACTTAATAAAAAATGGACAACTTGGATGCAACCAGACAATTTAGACCTTGCAGATGACCTAATTTTTCTATCCCATATACAGGATCTAATGCATATGAAGACAGACTGTGTACCGAAAGCCTCTGCATCAGTAGGTCTCAACATACACAAAGGAAAAATCAAGATCCCAGAGTACAGCACAAAGAGCATGACCCAATCACAGCTGATGGAGACGATCTGGAAGAGGTGGAAAGATGTTAGTACCTTGGCAACATCATTGGTAAACAAATAGAATCCGATGCAGAAGTGAGGGCAGAGATTGACAAAGCAGGGACCACATTCCTACAACTGAAGAATATAGGGGACTCAAAGTAACTGTTTGCGAGTCGAAATCAAAGTCAAAATCTTCAATACGAACGTCAAATTAGTCCTACTGTACGGGGCGGAAACTTTGACAACTACTACAACCATCAAAAATTACAGTTAATTATAAACAATTGTCTACACAAGATACTCAACATCCATCCAAGTTTCAAATGAAGAAGAAATTATGAAAAGACGCTGAAGGTGTGTAGGACATACATTGTGTAAATCATCAAACTGAGTCACGAGGCAAGCATCATTTTGGGAAGAATCGTGATGGGCGGCCTATGCTTCTCCACGACGGGTAACGGGTGTTACAGAGTACGTAAGTAGATGGACATTACCAAAGTCACTCAAACATCCCTCAAATATCATCCACAAATTTTATACTCACCAATTTATCTTCTCTAGTAATCACGTTCTTTGATATACAACATACTGATTTCAAAATATTTTACGGAGTGTATATCTGCTTGTTGCAAACCCTAACTTGGAATCCTGAAAGGAAATGGAAAAGAGGAAAACCAAAGAACACATTACGTTGAGAAATGCAAGCAGATATGAAAAGGATGAATAACAACAACTTTAAAGAACTGGGAAGAATTGCACAGGACAGGCTTGGCTAGAGAACAGCCTATTGGGTGGCCTATACTTCTCCATTTTACTGTTAGAATCGTAATCTCATCTACAGTATCTTTTATTTCCTAATCAAACTTTTTCTTTCCTTTATTGTTGTTAATAATATAGATACAATAAATGAATCAAATGGTAATATTGAATCCAATCATTTGAAATCATCCATAAAACATTCATTCAATAAATATATAATTCATGAAGAGAATAATAAATTACCAACAATCTATTCAATGCCTAAATTATATTCAACACATAATGATGATATGTATACTTCACAAATTACTGAAACATCTACATCTTTCACCTCCTCCTCCTCCTCCTCTTCCGCTTCTTCCGCCTCTTCCGTTTCTTCATCTGGATCTTCATTATCATTATCAACTGTATCATCAATGACACATGTTAATAATATACCAATCATACATGAAATAGATGATACAATAAATGAACAATTAACTAATATCAATCATTATTTACCTATCAACTCATCTACAATAACAACACAATTACATAAAATGTATCCTACAACCATAGATACAACTATATCTATGATAAAACAAACGAATATTGAAGCGAATTCATTCAATGATCCTATAATACAATCTGAATTAGAATCTATTCCATCAATTCATGTATCTAATGTATTAGATTATTATTATGATAATAACAATATTAATCATAATCATAATAATAATGATAATTGTATTACAGAGAAACAATCGAATATTGATACATTAACACAATATTATCAAGCGGTTCAACCAATTATGAGTACAGTAAAAAAATTTAGCGCTAATTTCGATATCGGTAGCCATAGCAACAATAATAATCATAATGTTAATAATAATGATGTAAATCAATCACTAATCACAATGCATTGTAAGTTTTATTTACTTTTATTTTACTGAATGGATTCTTTTTTTCTATTACCGAATTTGTTTGAATTATATTATTCAATGTTTCAATGTTTATATCAATACTTAACATCAACTTCATTCACTATGAGAAAGTATTTGATAGCGTGAACAAGCCAATACTATGAAGGTTTCTTCAATACTATGACGTGTGTGAGAACATGATCAATATTATATGGAATTCTTATGATGGGTTAAACTGAAAAATCGTGTATGGAGGACGATTGACAGACTCATTCGAAGGAAAGATCGATGAAATACAGGGCTGCTTACTCTCACCCTTTTTCTTTCTCCTGATGATGGACTAGATTATGAAGGCATCAACATCTGAGGGGAAGCATAGGATACAGCGGATAGCTAGGATGTAGCTGGACTAACTACACTTCACAGATGACCTGGTTCTTCTATCGCATACACAATTACAAATGTAGGAGAAGACGACCAGTGTAGCAGCAGCCTCACCAACAGTACGTCTCAACATACACAAAAGGAAAAACCAAAACTCTCCGACACATTACAACATGCAACAATCGAATCACACTTGACGGAGAAGCTTTGGTGGATGTAAAGACCTTCACGTATATGGACATCATAATTGATGAACACGGTGGATCTGATGCAAATGTGAAGGTGGGGATCGGCAAAGCAAGAGTAACATATCTACAAATGAAGAACATATCGAACTCAAAACAACTATCTGTCAACCAACACCAAAATCAGAATTTTCAATACAAATGTCAAGACAGTTCTATTCTGTGTGTGTGTGGGGGAAACTTCGAGACCTATGAAAGCTATCATCCAGTAGATAAAAGTGTTTATTAACATCTGTCTGCGCAAGATACTTCGGATGCGTTGGCCAGGCACTATGAGCAACAAGTTATTGTGGGAGAGAACGAACCAGATTGCAGTGGAGGAAGAAATCAGGACGAAACGCTGGAAGTGGGTGGGACACACAGTGAGAAAAGCACCGAACTGCGTCATTAACGCAAACCCTCACATGGAATCTTCAAGGCCAAAGGAAAAGAGGAAGACCAAGGAACACATTGCCCTGATAAATGGACACAGACATGAGAAGAATGAACAGCAATTGTATAGAACTAGAAAGGAAGGCCCATGACAGAGTGGGTTGGGGAATGCTGGTCGGTGGTCTATCGTCCATTGGGAGTAACAGGCGTAAGTAAGTAAGTTTCAATGTTTATATCACAGTTGGATGCAATTTAAAAACGATTCATTACTTTGTTTTATAAGTAAGTCTCAATATATCAATCAAGTTGATTGAATTAAAGGAAACCTATTTTGAGAGTCATTTAAATATTAGTATAGGTTAAATGTTCGTGTGCGAGGACGAAAGTCTTGCGTTCAAGTCTAACGTATGGGATGGTCGATGAGCACTGATGAGGAGTTTCATACTAGGACAACATAGTTGTCCAATGTTCCCAGGTTTTCAATGGTCGTATAACATTGATCCATTATTCATGATACTAATTTAAACTCAATAATTTTAATGTAAAACGTGTATTAAGTATCATCGATGAACAATTATGATCAAATCCATTTGGGCAATCTATCCTCCGCCTCGAGGAGTAACAGGTGTAAATAAGTAAGTAAAACGTGTATATAAAGTCTACAAATCGTGATCAGTGTCAGATAGGTTGACGACAAGTACACTGACAACATATTTATGTTTTGTAAATGAAGTGAATTAAATTGCCTTTAAGGTTGATGTGATTTCCACAAAAGTTGTATCATTCAGTAAACTAGTATTGACATGATCAAATTTGAACTGTAAGTTGAAAGAGTAGAATTCAGGTTACCAAGAAAACTGAATTCCAACGGTCCATAAACGAAATTTTCAACAAGATTTAATTCCATCCTATATGGTTTATATTCTTTTGTTCATATAGCTATGACTGTAGGAAGATCGAGAATTGGCTAGATACATATATAATTGTCCTCTTGATTCAGATATCAATATGTAGACAGAGATCTTGATCAGGTGAATAATCGACACTAGCCAATAATGTATCTCATTTATAATTGCTCACTTACTGTTTGAACTGAAGATGATAGGTAAACACAGATATACATCATGTTTAGGCCATGGAGTTAAAAAAAATCAGTGTTGAAATTTGGGTTCATATTCTGTTAAATACCGCGAGACCTGAAAGCCATTCATTACCTCTTGATGAGTTGTTATGCATGGATACTGTTGTTAAGCTTTATAGTAGAATAAAATAATAATTCAATGCTTTGTTATCATCCATAGTATCCCAAATGTAACCAAACATCAATCGGTCCATAATCTCAATCACAAACATAATAATCTCCACAACCCCTATACTAATAATTAACCTGTGCATCGTGAGGGAATTCTTGGAGTTCTAGTGAGAGGCCGTGACCACTGAAGCTAATCCGTGTCGGGTAGGGACAGGCACCTACCTCAGTACAATGGGAGGTGATCGTACGATTTCGTGGATTGGTTGATGTTAGACACTAACACCACTGAATGAAGGTTCAGTGCTCCAGTAGGTTAAGCGTTCGAGAGCGAGACTGAGGGTCCTGGGTTTGAATCTCGCGGGCCGAATCGTGGATGCGCACTGCTGAGGACTTCGACATTAGGATGAGACGGCCTTTTAGTACTTCCAGGTTTCCAATGCTGGTCTAACGTCAATCGGTTCATGATCTCAATCAAAAACTTAATAATCTCTACAACCCCTATACTGATACTAACATACTACAACTGATAATACATGATTTATCAAATAATATTTAGCCTACTTAAATTCTTTATTCAGTAGGTGAAGAAACTTTTGAAAATATTTCGAATTCAGATTATTCAATCAATTCAAATATAATTCATTGTTTACCAAATTTAGAACCTGGTATGTATTATTCAGATGATCAATTCTATACAACTTATTCACATCATTTAAATATGATCAAAGCAAAATATAATCAGAATACTACTATCAATACTACTACTACTACTGCTACTCATGATAATAATAATAATAGTTCACCAATATACACTAGTTACGATGGAAAACATTTGACACCAATCGATCATTCTAATCCATCCTATTCCACAAATCATTTCTGATATGTTCAATGGTGAATAATCTTGAATCAGGTTATACATATCTATATATATTTTATATCTGTAATACAGTTTACATGTACAGTTTACATGGTATTCATTGTAATCCTATAACAATTACATCTATACAAGATTGTGTTTTCTTTTCTCAGTTATATTTTTCTCTATTTTTCTTTTCTTTTTTCTTTATTATCAATATTATTACTTCTTTTTATTTTATTCTTTTGAAATTATATCGTTTATATATTTAACATGAAATTATTCTAATTCATATTGCCAATTACTTCTAATATAAAATAATAAATGAACATTGAATATAAATTTACTACATTGTTATGAATGATCAGTCAATTGAAACTACGGATCAAGCACTTATATGCATCAGTTCAAGTTGTTATACCTCATTAGTATAACAAGATGAATTCATAGAACCAGTTCATTTAATGGTGGTAATATATAAAAGAAAGATTGCATATAAAGATATAGTATAGGAAGATAGAATTAATTGGCAGAATGAAAGACCTAAAGCGATTGGCATGTGTTAGTTTAAAGGAAGACAAAGTGTGTATACACCGACCCCATTGCGATCGATTCTGAGACATGATCACCATTCTCATATCTGTCTCCATTTATCGGCATAATGTGTTCGTTGGTCTTCCTCTTTTCCTTTGGCCTTGAAGATTCCATGTGAAGGCTTGCGTTTATGACACAGTTCGGTGCTTTCCTCAATGTGTATCCTATCCACTTCCAGCGTTCCTTCCTGGTTTGTTCTCTCCCACAATAACTTGTTGCTCATAGTGCCTGGCCAACGCATCCGAAGTATCTTGCGTAGACAGATGTTAATAAACACTTTTATCTACTGGATGACAACTTTCATAGTTCTCGAAGTTTCCACCCCATACAGTAGAACTGTCTTGACCTTTGTATTGAAAATTCTGATTTTGGTGTTGGTTGACAGATAGTTGTTTTGAGTTCGATATGTTGCTCTTGCTTTGCCGATTTGCATCTTCACATCTGCAACAGATCCACTGTGTCCATCAATGATACTGTCCATATATGTGAAGGTCTTTACATCCACCAAAGCTTCTCCGTCAAGTGTGATTCGATTGTTGTATGTTGTAATGTATCGGAGAATTTTTATTTTTCCTTTGTGTATGTTGAGGCTGCTGCTACACTGGTCGTCTTCTCTTGCGTTTGTTGTTGTGTGCGCAATAGAAAACCTTTAGATTGGTTAACAATTAATTGCATTTATAATTTTCATTAATCTACAATACTGCTCTACTGTGGTTGGTGGTTAACTACCTCATATCCCATATTGCAGAATTCTACCGACCACAAGCTTTCCACCGGAACTCTGGGAATTACCACTCTCTAGCGAGTACATCACTATCATGATTACTAATGAGGGTTTTAGAAGATTTCTACGTTACATATTTTACATCAAACTGATTATACTCAGTCATTTCGTATTTTCACATGGTTAGCAGTACGATAGAAAATCCTTAGTTTATTCTATTTTATAATTCATTCGTAGATCAGTAATTATCAACAGAGATGGTTGACGGCTGGCAGTGGAATCCAGGACGCGAGTTTCTTCCAATTTGAGACTCTTCAGATAGACGCATCTGCATCCCAGAGTCAGTATCCACCTTGGGATACAGTCACATCCAGCTGATGTGTCTAAATAGTTGGTATTTCAGACTTAGGTGATTGTGTAATGTTCAATAAAATAACAGAATTAGCTTTTTATGGACAGATACTTCCATGAATGGATTAAACAGTATTCCGACAATTGAGTTTCTCTTCAATCATCATAACAAACAACTCCGAAGTGAGAAGAAAAGACATGGAATAATATACACCAAAAGTCGAATCGTGAATACATTCCAATATATTTATATTGATTAACAGTTCAATCAATAAATTATCAGTACAAGATTGCAGAGATGAGTAAATGTCATTGGAATCACTAACCGATCAAAGTTAGACAACCAGTGAAAACTCGGAAGTACTGGATGGATGTCCTGTCTTATTATGAGACTGCTCAAAAGTGGGCATACATAACCTAGCGAGTGAAAATCGTACCCACGACCTTTTGTCTGGCGCGCGAATGCATAATTTCTAGACCACTGGGGTATAACTTCACACAGCTTTCCAATGCTTCCGGATTCACAATGGTAGTCGTGATTGATAATAATAACAATCTGGGACAAAAGTTCCGAAGGTCCCAATATTCATCCACGACGATAACAACATTAGAGGAAGAGTATCAGCAAACAGAAAAAACGCAAAATCAGTAGATCGAATAGCTTATTCCTTCCAATAACATATTCATATCAATGGGACGGTTATGAGATATTTGTCAGATTTTCCTCTCATTTTTTTGATTGATGAATAGTTTTCATAAAAGACACTTGTCTATCATAAATTAATGGTAGTTGTGATATTATTGAAAATTAAGGTTCATTGGATAGTTATTTCGTCTAAGCATGGTACTTTCAATCAAACGAAACTGAAGATAATTCTAGGATTAAGGGTATGATGAAAATACTATACAGTTGATCATTACAAATCCAGACATTATAATTCAATCAATTATAGATATAGAGTAATGATCAAATAATGGGATTGTTAGTAATTGTGTCACTCCAGATTACTCAATTTCACCAATGACAACCTTATAATAGAACCAGAGAACCGAACTCGAAACCATTTACTAATGAACAAACGTTTATTTAAATTTATAGAATAAATGGATTGTAGCTAACACTGGGATCCAGGATGCAACTTTCGTTCAACTTGAGACTTGTCACCTGGATGTAATTACATTCCGGTGTTGATATTCATAATTCGGAACTCAAGTCCAATACCTTACGGTTCAAATGCCATAGCAGGCTTTATGATATTCATTATCATTATTAGCACCCGTTCATATCAAAAGACTGGATTTGGATCAGTATTGTTGACATATGTACGTGTTGTGCAGATTGTATGTATTAAACCATTTCAAAAACCTTTTAGCTATTCAAATAGAAATATACTGAATATTTGTGAAATAAGGTTTTTTATATACGTTCAGTAGTTAGAAGTAAGCAGTTGGCAACAAATTCTGCTCGAGTTGAGTTTCGTGCTAGTTGGCATTCGTCAACAACGCATCCCAGGAATTTTGGCGAAAATGATGAACCTTATAACAATTGAACTTCAATAGCTCTAGCTATACAATTAATTCGTCCATGGAATTGTGTTCCTAAAGGATTACGATATTTGCAGTTGACTGATCATTGATAAGTGACCAGAGTCATTTTTAGTGTGGACTGAATTCTATAGAACAAGTTGCAGTGTAACCACTAATCTAAATCACTTAAAATTGCAAGAAAAACCAGTCCCCTCCAAATTGCAGGTACACCTTTCTGACAAGTGCCAATTAACACAAAACTCAAGTTGAGCAAAATTTCCCGTTAACTACTTCCAGACAACTAGCATTTCAATATAGTGGATGTGATATAAAGTTAATTGGACAGTAACAGTATACTATGGTGTTGTCCTTGACTAGGCCAATCAGAAATAGAATAGTGCCTCATGGAGTTTTGCACAAAATTAAAAGAGGAATATGAGTTGGCTTGTATGTTATCATGAAGTAAAATAAAATTGTCAGTATTTGGTTTCTAAAATCATTAAAGCTGAGAAAGATGTCTACTATGAAACCGACATGAGAATATAATACGGCAGTTAAGCTAAATTACCTACTCCTAATGCAACTTATGTATTGGCACACTTAATATGACCCAATGCATAGTTAAGAGTGCTAGTGTAATCAAATAGCACTCTATGACTCTAACTACAGAATCTGAATCTAAATCCTAAGTTTGTAAATTCTGTAAACAAAAGGATGACAAGCATCATCACAGATATTCGTTCATAATTCGTCGCTCGAACTCATAACTTCGAAGCTTAACTTTTATCACCTAACCGGAACATTTCTTTGTCAGCCATCTCAACTCATAATACATAAACGCAACCTTTTTTTTCCTTTACTAAAATGAATAGTTGAACATGTAATAGTTAGTTGATCATTATGAAAATCATTATTCCATTGTAATTTTATTACTTTATACATTTCATTGTTTTATAATTAAACAATGTTTCTTGATTAGCTGATGAATCCCCTCCGTTTCTCAGCCCCCTCTCTAAAGTTGTCAAGTTAGTATACTTTCATTATTCGAATACTAGTAACAACATTACGACTTGATTGTTAATATTCGGTCACTACTAACATATGAAGCAAATATGACATTGACCAATCAATATAAATTCAATCTGTATAATTGTTTGTTTGTTTTTACGGAAAAAATATATTCGGAAAATAATTTAATTAAGTAGTATATTTAGTGATTCGAATTATTTTTTCTGGTTAGCGTTTTTTAGCGAGTTAGTTTTCTACGGGTTGGGATCGTTAACCCTATGACCAACCCTCCTCCTTTACTCGGGCTTGGAACCGGTAGTAAATCTAGAAGACCTACAGGCGGAGTAAGATCCTTAAATGCAATACAGAGAATATCAACCCATTCACACTTAATGGCGAAACTCTGGAAGATTTCGAATCCTTTATGTACTTGGAAATCACCATTGATGAAAAGTAGGATCAGATGCAGACATAAAGGCGAGGATTGACAAATAAAGAGCCGTATTCCTATAATTGAAGAACATATGGAACTCACAACAACTGTCAACCAACACCAAAGTAAGAATTGTCAATACGAACGTCAAGTCAGTTCCACTGAACGGAACTGAAACTTGGAGAACCCCTACAATCATCACCAAAAAGGTACAACTATTTATAAATAGTTGTCTACGCAAGATACTCAACATCGACTGGCCGGACACCATCAATAACACCATTCTGTGGGACAGAACAAACCAGATTCCAGCTGAAGAGGAAATTGGGAAAAGACGTTAAAAGTGGATAAGACATACATTACGGAAATCACCAAACTGCATCACGAGGCAAGCTCTCACTTGGAATCATGAAGGGAAACTGAAAGGAGTAAGGCCAAAGAACACATTACGTCGGGAAATAGAAGCAGATATGAAAAAGATGAATAACAACAACTGGAAAGGATTGCCCAGGACACGGTTGGATGGAGAGTGCCAGTAGGCGGCTCATGCTCTTCCACGAGGAGTAACAGGCGTAAGTAAGTAAGTAAGTAAGTAAATAAGTAAATATATTTATTCATTTATTCTGTCTTTATATCTCTTTATCTATCCTATCTGTCTATCTATGTTAAATCTCAATCAATTCAAAAGGTAATATTAAATAACTTGATAACAGATCATTCATGTTACATAAAGATATATATATATATATATATAGTTATTATATATAGATAGATTAGATTCATGTCGATAAAATCAAAACAAGATCATCAAAAATAACATATTCAATGATCAATTTGAATAATATGAGATCGAGATCAAGAACAAAGTGTGAATCGATCATTCCTTTATACACATTAATAAACGAATGAAAATGAAAACATACACAATGAAAAAGAAACAAACAAACAAACAAACACAGAAAACCATATAACTAATGAGTGATTTACCAGATTTCTTCTATTCACTAAAATGAAGAATAAATATATATATAGGTATATATATATATATATATATATATATATATATATATATATATATATATATGATAATTAATAATATACAGAGACAATTTAGTTTAATGGAATCACCTTGACAATAATTTACTCATTTAATAAATTACAATTTGATAAACGTGAAAAAAAAGGAAAAAAGAGAAAGAAAAAAAGAACGGCCCAACGATAAACACTTACTCACTCACACACGCACATGCAAACACACACATACGCACTCATACACAGAAGAAACATACACACTTAGAGACATAGAAAAGGGAGAAAATGTAGCGCACATGCACATATACGCACTCATACACAAAAGAAACACACACAGACATAGAAAGGGGGGAATGTAGCTCAGAACTCTTCAATATATATATATATATAATCATTTTAATCTATGAAATAAAGATTTAAAAAAAGAAGAAACAATCTTGTAAAAATGCAACAAAATGAAGTCATGAATGATGAAATACATCAAAAGGAAGCAAACAATGTGATTTCATTGTTTCCTCTTTTAGAAAAACAAAATAGATTTTTAATGAAAAACATTAAGATATACATATATGTATATTACGCAATAATAATAATGGTAATAATAATAATAATAATCAGTATTCATTTGTTCTAATGTAAAGTAGGAAATAATAGAATGGTGAACGTGTATATATATATGAACGTATATATATATATATATATATATATATATATATATATATATATATATATATGAAACAGGAGATTTATTCAATGAATTATCCTCTATGAAATAGATTACTTCTATTTTCTTCTTTTTCTGCTTCTTCTTCTTCTTTACTCTATTGGGTTACATGCTTTCAACGATCTATAATATTGTAAATGATTACGTACTTTCAATGAACATAGCAAAACATCAAGTGTTCATTGACATCATAAGACATGATTGAATATTGAAATTGAATTATAATTCTGTATAGAATTAATTCATTTAAACAAAATAATCATAAAATAATGTCAAACGATTATTTATATCAATCGCCCCCAAATGCCCTGGTACGGTTGAGAATGGGGAGAGTCCGCTCTCCCTCTCCAAAATGATCTCACATGGCCACACGTATATAGCCTCTGCCAGGGAAGTTCTACTTAATGCCTTCTCGTATCAAGGGTGTTTTTTACGAAATTGAGAGGACGAAAAGAGAATGTCCGGCGCTTTAACCAGATTCCAAACCAATGGTGCACATGGGCTCCAGTATCCTGTGGGAACAAATGGCGAATGAACTAATTGTTGGTCACCAGCGTCCATGTGACTGCATCTCCTTACGATGCTCCACTGCCTTGTGGGTCAGACCTTCAGGTCGAAGGATCCGATACGGGTGTGGCCCCCTAAGAAAACCACATGCTTCGGTTTGGGCACCCGGACAGTATCATAGCCCTCACACATATCGAGTGAGATTTGTGTGGCGCATATGTATTTGGTGCCTCCTTGTACGAATATCTATGTGTTAAAATAAATAAATAAATAATTTATATAAACCAATCGTCCCTATTTGGGACTCGCCAGCTGAATATACCTGCATTCTATAGTTGATGTTCATTCTGGAACTCGAACTCAGTACCGTTCGTTACAAATGCCATCGCGTCATTTACTTAGCTACTGAGTACTGATAGTCACCTGATTTCGCAATAGGGTGACGTTTAAATTCACATGATATTGTTTACTTGACTCTTCCCTATGGTATTTAGGACTTCAACTAATCAGTCTCCTATTGACATATGTGCATTCTGTGCGGAATGCTTCGATATTGCCTTAATTCACAAGTATTATAAGCAAAGATGGATAGTGGATAGCAGTGGAACGTGCTTTTCATCCCATTTGGGACTCGTCAGTTGTATGTATTTGCATCTCAGAGTTGATATTCGCACTACGACTCGAACCTACGTACTGTTCACTCCAAACGCCATTACGTTATCCACTTATCTACTGAGACTTGATAGCCACTTGCTTGTGCAATGTGGTGAAGTTCAAATTCACTTGATATTGTTGACTTAAATCATCCGATTGATGTTTAAGGACTACAATTGACCAGTCTCTTGTTGGTATATGTGAATCCTGTGCGAACTGTCTCGATATTGCTTTAATTCACAAACATTATGAGCAAAGATGGATAGTGGCTAGCAGTGGAGCTGGGTTTGGGTCCTAGAATGAACATGAACTCTGAGATGCAGGTACATCCAGCTGACGAATCTCAAATAGGACGAAACACGCGTCCTGACTATTCTAGGTCAACGAGTGAATCTCCTGGTAGAGAATCAATCTCTGAAGTGTTTGACGATCAAAATGCTATCTACTTCTGGAGGTACCTGAAAACGAATTAGATATGGTCTTAGTGACCTGAGAGCGTGACCGCAGTGCTCAAGGGACAACTGCTTGTGATCGGTCACACACGACCTTTTTATGATTAATCTCCGTGTTAGCTCCCTACATGGTGAAACCTCACCGCCCGAGACGGATATCCGTGGGATAAGGGGAGGTGTTCGGTTTTAGGGTCGACCTTTTCTAAACCAACCCCTCCTTGTGGGAAGGAAACATCGCTGTTATGTTGATTGTCTGAAGGAAACACCTTACTGCCATCATAACTCCGTACAGTAAGCAGTACAACTTCGTCTTCGAACCTTAGGTTTGTTGCTTTTAGTCTTACCGCTCTTCAACCGACCTGTCTGGTATAATAGAACCTTGAGGAACGATTGTTGCAGCCAGTAGAGCTCGACTGGTTCATCACAATAGGCAAGTCCAACCACCACGTCAAGCTAACAACAACGAACCGAAAAATGTTATCTCCAAAGTCATGTCTATGACACAATTAAATACCAATGTTTATGTGTTTAAATAAATAAATAAACCACGATAATGTTGATGCTTTTTCTTACCTGTGACTACAACAATTCATGAAAAGATTGATGAGACTGAAAAATTAAAAAAAGAGAAGGTAAAAACAAAAACGGAAAAATAAACTTAACATCTACATAGTAAACAGTCAATAGAAAGAAGAGAAAATTATAAAATATTCAATAATTTTCTCTAGTTTTAATGATGTTTTCCTACTTTATGTTGATTAATTCGAATTTTAACTAAAAGGCAATATACGTTCAAAGATTTCATTTATTCAGTCAGTTAGCAACAACATAGAAATCCGTACGTACGTACATCAGTTCGAATTGCCATACCATATTAGCACAGAGATGCAGTTGTCGACTAAAATTCCATAGTGGTAGAGGTAGTAAGAGTAAAATTGGAAGAAGATTGGAATTTGGGAGAACACAAAGATTGAATGCACCTACGCCATTGCAAACGATTTTGAGTCATGTCACATTCAAGGTCTCTAACCATCGGTTGCTATCATCTCGCGGATCCCAACCAGGTAGTCTACACCTATTAATTTCTGACAAAGACACACACATATCATCAACATAAAGCCTGGTACGGATGTGTGTTGGTTTACGTTGTCGTAACTGATTAGCACGACGAGGTGAAAATGACAAGAGAGATCGAAATAATGTGGTCATTAAAGAAAGGCTAAAATTTAAGAATCTGGTTTAAAAGGATAGAGTAGAAAGGTATGTATGAAAAAATACTGAAATTCAAGATCGAGAGGATGTTAAAAAGTGAACGTATCTGCGTCACTGGAAATGATTCTGAGCCATGTCACATAAAGTCATCAAACACTGATCGTGGTTATCACACGAACAAAAATCAGGTGATCAGTAGCTTTCTTCCAACTTACTTCTGTGAATTATCACCTTTTCTAAGTACTTATTGCCTAGCCTTAACATTGATGATATAGTCATCCCACTATATATCGAATATTTGAGTTTAAGTAGCGTGTGAAGGCCACAAAGATCCACCTGGCTACATGAAGCCACTGCCAGGAAAATCCTACTCACTGATTTCTCGCCTCTGGGGTATTTTTAAAAAATTGAGAGGAAGAAAAACGAATCTTCGGCACTTTAACCGGGTTGGTAGATATAGAGGATCCATCCTGATTGCAAACCAATGGTGTATATCGCGTCCAGGATTCTGAGGGAATAAATGGCGTATGAACTTATTGTTGGTCATCGGTTTCCATGGGACTGTATCTCCTAACGTTGCTCTACTGCCTTGTGAATGAGACTCGGGGTGTGGCTCCCTGAAAAAACCACCTGAACGTAAGCAAACAATATCGTAAGATTTGCTGATGAGATTTTAAATGGAAATCAGTTTAATTAACTAACTAATATCAGTTGGGGTACTGATGGAAAACAAGGAGCAATAAACAATAATTGAACTTTTCGGTTGTATGGATACATGATTTCATTAAGAAATTGAGCCCACAATCTTCAGATCTTACAAACCGTTAGACAACTAGTGGCACATTTTCAAATCTAATCAATTTGAGATATAGTTCGACGATTATCAGAATCCCCTAGTGACGAATGCTTCATCGCTGATATGTCTGAACTCTATCGAGCAAGATTTCCTATCATAACTTAGAGTTAGTTTTGAAGTAAGTCAATAATGAGCACCATAATTATAATCTCATACTAGGAGCAAAAAAATAGTTGTCCAATCTTCTAAGGTTTTCAATTGTACTTCGACAGAAGTCAATCTTCGAAGCAGACCGCTTATAAATGGAATTATAGCTTTGGAAGGAGTTTACACTTACATGAACGGATTTATTTGATGGATTCTGTGTTGCATATAAAGAAACACCAGCAGAAGTAGTGGTAGTAGTAGTGTTTGTAATAGCACTTAAATGATTTGTTCGTACACATGAATGTGAACGACTGTTTGTAGTCAATGACTGTTGTTGGTGTTGAAAAGGACGATGACTGTGTTGTGATTGTTGCTGTGAGTTTACAGGTATCAATTGTCGACTAGATAACCATTTAGCAATTTCATCAGTTTCATCAGAATCATGAGATCTAGTTGTAGACTAGAGAAAAGGATAAAATGAAAAATAGATATATTTTACATCATGTTAATGTATAAGATGTACGATTAATATCCTATCGGTTTTCATTTAAAATTTTTAATGAACGATATTTATACCTGGGACTATCAAAGTACCGCTCGCTTCAAACGCCACCACGTTATTCACTTACCTACTAAGTCCTGATAGACACCTGCTTGTGCAATGGGGTGATGTTTTAAATACATTTGTTATTATTTGCTTCTATCTTCTCATTGTTGTTTAGGACTGTAATTGATCATTCTATTATTGGTATATGTGCATCCTGTGCGTATTGCCTCGATATTGCCTTAATTCACAAGCTTTATAAGCAAAGATGAACAGTGGTTAGCAGTGAAATCCAGGAGGCGCATTTCATCCTATTTGAGACCCCATTGAACAAGTAGTTGGCCACTAGGACTCAGTACCTGATTGGACAACGCGACGGCGTTTGAATTGAACAGTACTGGGTTCGAGTACCGGAATGAACATCAACTCTGCAATGCAGGTACATCCAACTGACAAGTTTTAAATAGGAAGTAATGCGCGTTCTAGATTCCACCGTTGGCCACTATCCATCTTTGGAAGGTATAAAAGTTTACACTCGATCATTGACACAATTTGAAATATTGTGACGAAGAATTTCACTGTTAAGGTGAACACTGATGTCGTTGAAATAAAAATAACTGTCATTCCAGAACATTCCAGAAGCCTAAGGCCTTCCGAAATATCCTCAATTTTCTGTTCATAAACCAACCTTGAAAATAAACCGTTATTTCCACCTTTCACGCCTTTTCTCTTGTGTTCAAGTTGTCGTGTACGATGAGTTAGCTTGGGGTTATAGAATAACTTAGGAAACCAGTTCAAGCGTTCAGTTAGAAGGTTTGTCATTTTATTTTTAATTAGATAAAGTATTGGATACTTGCCCAATAGTCTAAAATTTAAATACCCATCATGTGATCCTAAGATGATGGGTCCAATCCCTATTAGGGTAGTGGATGCGCACTGAAGAGTTCTCTAATATGACGAAACACCTGTTCAATGCCTCTTTAGTTACCAATAGTTGTTCAAATAAAATCAGTTTTTGACTTAAACTATCAAAAACAAAAACAAACATTTCCTTAATCAAATACTTTTTACATGTAACAATTCTATCTAAACAATAAGGTTAGTTGAGAATGTAAAGTAGAGGTTACTTACACCACCATAGGGACCTTCACTTATATCCAACAAACTTTCATCGTCATCTTCATCCTCGTTATTATTATGATGATTGCTGGTGGTTGAAACAGCAATACTACTACCGTTACCTGAATCTGCATGATTATAGTGTAAACTATTCATTCGACTACTAACAACTCCATTCACTGTAGACTCATTTAGAGTTGTACGACGTAGAGAAGATGGTCCAGCTGTAATTGCTAATTGTTGTTGTTGGTGGTGGTGTTGCTGCTGCGGATAATGATGATGATGATGATGATTCGATCGATGACGTCTTGAATCAATATGGTCACTTGATGAAGCAGTTAAACATAGTTGTGGTCTAGAATTCGTTAAACATAATGCAGAATCCATTTGTTGATTGTTAGAAGAATTATTATTATCGGAATTATGTATTGCACGTTGACAATATCGTTCAAAACGATCGTAACTGTAAATGGTTAAAAATGATCAGATAAGGAAACAGATATTAAGTTACTGGTTAAGATTTTGCCTAATCTTAATCATTTAAACAATGTTAAATGAAGAATTGGAGGAACTAACTAAGCGATGAGTGTGATGGAGTTTTGTTCACTCAGGTGGATGGTTTGGTCATGGAGCTATCATCGTTCTTCTGAACGACATCATCGGCACAAAAATCAGGTAGAAGTGAAGTGTCCGAATTTGGCTGTATCTGCCATTGGTTTGATTTTTGCTGCTATATTTGTGCAATGGGAGATACAACCAAGATAAAGAAGTAAACAATGGCAGGTTTAAAGTCAACAAGAACCAACCAACATCGAGGTGTACAGGATGAGCTGTGAACCACGTGTGGAGAAATTCGAACACTTCATTTCTACCTGAAGTTTGTGCTGATGATGTCGTTCAGAAGAACGATGAAAGCTCCACGACCAAACCATCTAGCTCAAAGAACAAAACTCCATTAAAATCATCCACCTGAGCTACAAATCTTCTCCACCATCTCAAAACGGTGAGTGTATTTGCACATCATAATATAGACAATTTGAATCATATCCTCAAGGATCACTAATTCAATGATTATCAAATGGTTTACTAATTAAGAGGACATTTTATTTATTACCGATCGATAGTCATTAACTTTATAGACTGATATTTAGTCATTTCATCTAGTCATCCCACTAAATTACTACTGTGCTAGTCATGATTTCGTATATGTATAATGCATGACTGGGAATATATAACACGTGAATACCCTGAATAGATAAGCTTTTTATTAGTTAGATGATATGGATATACAAGAGCATATCTATGGCAAGAATAAATATAGATGGAAAGAGAGAGAGAGCAAGCAACCATAATAAATACTACTTAAAATAAGCCATAACTAGAAACTAAAAGTAATAATCTCAAGAAAACACATCAGCATGGAGATGGTAGTGTCTTCACAGTTGAATTCACGAGTCGATTTAAGCTAAACAACCAGTGAAAATCTGGAAGCACTAGACGGTTATTTCGTCATAGTATAGGACTCCCAGAAGCCCGCACGCGAGACTCGAACCCAGAACTTGCGGCCTCGCGTGAATTAGTCTAGACAATCTCAAGTCCACACAACTAAACCAATCTCAGATTAAAAACTATGTATCAATACAAGACATATTACTTTTGATACCATCAAACAATAACAACAATTCAACAAACAAATCAATTAGGAACTCAACAACAAGACATTAAGTTGTTCCGTTCAAACATATCTCTCATTCAATGGTCAACAAGTTTGCTATGTACATATTAAAACAAAATTCTTCAATAGTATATGTCCAACATTCAATATATGATTATTCGCTGAGCAATTTCTAAGAAATCATCACATTCGCTGTTCAGTGATGATGGTGTCTATGCATAACTTGGTCAAAATTATTTTCTTTTGTAATTTTTCTCCTAAAAGGTTTTGAATACATTTTCTCAACTACTAAAATTGCTATAATATCCACAAAACCCCTTCTAATACTAATCAACATATGCTCACTAAGAACTGGCTTCATGAGATATTTCCTGGAGTTCTAGTCAGAAGCAGTGACCAGTGGAGTTCAACTGGATCTGCTGTGAGATAGTAACTCACTGAAGACAATGGTGAATGTGTCGCTCAATTTCGTGGATTAGTTGAAGTTAGACCTTTAACACCGTTGGATGCCGGCTCAGTGGTCTAGTGGTTAAGCGCTCGCGCGCGAAACCAGTAGGTCCTGGATTCGAATCTCTCAGGGGTCGAGGTCGTGGATGCGCACTGCTGAGGAATCCCACAATGGGACGAAACGGCCGTCCGGTGCTCCCAGGTTTCCCATAGTGGTCTAACTTCAACTGACTCAAAATCTTAACCATTGATATTGAAATTATCATAGTATCCACAATACCCTGGATAAAAAAATGATGGAACTTGAAAATGAAAAATGATGATGATTTACAATAGGACAATATTAATTCATATTTATCTGTCTCTGAATGTATTAGATACAAGTCACAGTAGTAAAAAACAAAAGAAAACAAAAATTTCAATCGAAACCAAGGCATCTACAAAAAAAAACATTCAAAGCAGTCAATAGAATCAGAAAATACAATAGGAAACATAAAATGGTATACGATAGAGAAAGAGAGAGAGAGAGAGAGAGTAGAGAGTCAGAGAGACAGAGAGAAATGGGAATTCAATGAATAATAATATGAAAATGAATAAATGATTAGAAGTAGTTAGTAGTATGTATGATATGTAACATATGAATCGATGTAAAAACAAAATGAAACAACACGGAAACCAATCTATTTACATGATATAATTTACGAGTTGTAATAAGAACGAGAAAGAAATCCTGTCTCTAGGCGTGTGTATGTGTGTGTATGTCAGATAGATAGAAAGGGGAACTGCAGATTAGTGTGATCTCTCAAAGGAATAAACAAATAATGACGAAGAGAAGAATAACAGTAAAAACACTAACAACAATAATTGTGGCAAATTATAATAAACAATAAATATCCAGTAAATAATAAGACATGATTATAAAGGGAGAAGTGAAAAGAGAGAAAGAGAGGGAAAGAGAAGGAGAAAAACACTAAGTATAACCATAATTGAATTGTTCATAAATCATATAAGAAAGAAATGACTCGTAGAGGTATGAATTTTTATATTAGAACAAAAGAATGGTCAATCAACAATCGATTCTGTTATCGTTAACACACGACAATATCAAAAAGAAAGAGGTTGAATTATATAAATAGAATTTGAAGAGAATGAGAAAGAGAGAGGAATACATCAGTTGAATGGTAATGAGTATCATCATTATTCATGTTAAGAGTATTAAATGTTTCAATCTACGCATAGATATATATACTTAACAATAAAGAGCGGTTCTATTTTTGGAATCTTCAAATGGTTATACCTAGATTTCAGGGTTGTCATGAATTCAGTAACTATCTCTAAACATTAAAAGGATAATACAAATTGTTACGAATGAACATGTTTACGCAGTGAACAAATCAGTGCTTGTCTAGACTCTTGTTACTTACTTACGCCTCTTACTCCACGTGAAGGAGCATAGGCCGATCATCAGCATTCTACATCCAACCCTTGTCTAGACTCACTACTAAAATAATATTCATACCGTATAATGAAATGTAAACTGTTCGAATTGTGTGAGATTCATGAGTGATCAGAATTGACAAGTATGGCATGTGATTTCTGTCGTCAAACTGTAAATTACTCGGATTAGGATAAGATTGTACACATACCGTACTCTTTCATATGTGACATTTTGAAAATAGACAAGAAGTTCGTCTGTTTGATTTATGGTGTAAGTATATGTGATAATCTAATTGATGAAAACAGTCTGTATCAATAGATGTCATATTCGATGTCATCATAAGGTTAGTTCAATTATAAAACACATCCGTGTAAGAAGTCCTACTTTAGGTTTTAGAAATTTTACTTCATCGAGTTGAGGATATCCTGCAGCTTATTGTGTTTTGTAATCATTTTCTAAGAAGAGTTGTTTATATCCAATGGTCAAATCGTGTAAATGAGACCAAGGCTGAAAATATATATCCTATTATAGTAAGTCGCAATCATTTATAGACATATTCATACTGTGATATAACTTGTGATGCCTTAAAAGTAATTTTATAGCAGTTTTCCAAAAAGGATTCAATACTAGGCATTATTTGCAAATTTTGAGACTGGATGAAAAAATCAGATAATCGGTCATGATATGATTTCATGAAATGGAAAATAAGACTAGCAACTGTTATTCAGTATTCATTCCTTATACGTGAATTCCTAAAACTCATAAAACCCACTTGTTTAGGACACTATCAGACATGTCATATTTACTTATTTATTGGAACACATGAATAATGATGCAAAGGGGTACCGAATACATATGCGCCACACAAGTCACTTGATTTGTGTGAGGGCTGTAACACTGCACAAACCGAACCACGTGGTTTTCTTAGAGGGCCACACCCGGAGCCTCCGACCAAAAGGCCCCAACCACAAGGCAGTGAAGCAACGTCAGAAGATGCAGTCCTATGGTAGCCGGTCACCGACAATAGGTTAATACGCTATTTGTTCCTTCAGGATACTGAAACCCATGTACACCATTAGTTTGGGATGAGAGTTTTCCGACCCCCTCCCAGGTGGACTCTCCTGAAACCACGCTCTAAACTACACGTAGGAGCTTTTAACGTACGAACACTTTGCCAAATAGGACAACAGGCTTCCTTAGCTAAAACTCTAGAATCTCGCGCCATCGATGTGTGCTGCGTCTCCGAAACGCGCATACAGGATCCAAGTAGCGTCATTCATTTGACCTCACCATGCCAAAATAAAGAACCGACTCGATTTACGCTTCGTGTATCTGGAAGCCCTGATTCTGCTTCCCGTGGCCTCGCCGGCGTAGGTATAGCATTGAGTCCTAGGGCAGAACTAGCTCTCTTAGAGTGGATCCCAGTAAACAGTCGTTTGTGCGCTCTCCGACTGAACGGAACAGTAAGAATCCGGAAAGATAGGGACACTCGTCGTTGCCTCTTCGTCGTCTCTGCCTATTCTCCCACTGACTGCAGCACAGATGATGTAAGAGATGAGTTTTACGGAAAGCTTTCGGACCTTCTCCGAAAAGCTAGGTGCTCTGATGTAGTAATAGTGGCCGGTGACTTTAATGGTCATGTAGGTAAACTAAGCGATAAGGAAAGACACATAGGTGGATCTTATGGTGTCGTGGCTCAAAGAACAGATAATGGCGACAGTCTGTTGCAGCTATGCTCAGATAACCGCCTGTTCCTTGCAAATACTAACTTTAAGCATAAGGAAAAACATCTTTTAACATGGCGACCCCCTAATTCGTCTCAACGTTGGACCCAAATAGATCACATCGCTATCAGCCACCGATGGAGGGGCTCGATAGAAGACTGTCACTCATTCTGGAGCAC